CAGTGTGGTAAAGCCTTTGCATGCCACAGTTATCTACAAGTTCATAAAAGAACCCATACTGGAGAGAAACCCTATGAATGTAATCAGTGTGGTAAAGCCTTTGCACAATACAGTCATCTACAAAGGCATGAAAGAAGACATACTGGAGAGAAACCCTATGAATGTCATCAGTGTGGCAGAGCCTTTGTACAACACAGTCATCTACAAGTTCATGAAAGGAGCCATACTGGAGAGAAACCCTATGATTGTAATCACTGTGGTAGAGCCTTTGCACAACACAGTCACCTTCAAAGGCATGAAAGGAGCCATACTAGAGAGAAACCCCAAGAATGTAATCAGTGTGGTAAAGCCTTTGCACGTCACTGTTATCTACAAAGTCATGAAAAAACCCATACTGGAGAGAAACCCTATGAATGTAATCACTGTGGTAAAGCCTTTGCACATCAGAGTACTCTACAAAGTCATAAAAGAAGCCATACTGGAGAGAAACCCTATAAATGTAATCACTGTTGTAAAGCCTTTGCACATAACAGTGATCTACAAAGACTTAAAAGCACCCATACTGGAGAAAAACCCTATGAATGTAATCACTGTGGTAAAACCTTTGCATGCCACAGATCATCAAAGGCATAAAAGAAGCCATACTGGAGAGAAGAACTATGAATGTATCAGTGTGGTAAAGCATCAGATCCTCTGAAATTGAAGTGAGAGCAGTGTGTGATCTTCCATTGGGTGCTGAACCAAACCTCTGTCCAGCAGCAACTATTCATAACCGTGAAATATTTCTCCAGCCCACTCTGCCTACTTTTTGAAGAAGGGTCTTGAAGTATAACTCTAGTAGCTGGCCTAGAATTCACTGAGGATCTCAGGATGGTCTTAACTTGATGGTAATCTTTCTTCCTCAACCTCCTGGGCAAGTGGTTCACAGTTGTAAGCCACCATTTTCTTCTGTGTCTGTTTGTTTAGTTTTTTTGAGACTGGTTTTATTCCCTATGTATTCAGGAATGACTTTGAACTCTTGATACTCTTGGCTTTACCATCCAAGTTCTGGGATGCGGGAATGTGCCACCACACCTGGCTCTACTTCTTTAACCTTACTGCTCCACTTTTGTTTCAATGCCTTTTCCTGGGAGCTGTGACTAAAAATGTCTGCTTACCCAGAAAGGGTACTGGTAACAGGCCAAATAACAGTTCCATCAAAATGCAACTAGATGAACCAATGTTTTTGGGGGATACTTATGGAACATGAAGATGGGTTATTTATAGAAACTTAAGTGACCCCAAAACATCATCAGAAGTTTTCTCTTCAAAGATGATGACTTCATTAAACTTGCATCATAGAGTCCCCTTTTCAATTAATATTACTTATCTGCTGCAGCATCTCCTGAGATCAGTTACCATTAAGGGAAAGCAGAGCAATGACTAGAATCTTGAGGGAAGATCTTTTCACCTTCCCTTTTCTTCTATTACTAGAGATACAATAGCTCTATTACCACCACTAGAGTTCCAATATTTTTGTGCTCAGGTCATTACTATGGTAAATTACAATGGTATATTTTGTCCAAAGGTGAAAGGTATACTTATTAATTAGTGATTACCTAGTTCAGAACTTTATTCATGTTTAATTATTGTTTTGCCCTTTAGCTTTCAACTCAACTTTGGAAACCTTGTTTTATTTTTATTATTGTTGGTGGTGGTAGTGTAAGAGAAAATACAGTGTTTCTACATATCCTGGCCCTAAATAGGTAGACTGGGAACAAGGCTGAGAACA